ATAAATAAATAATAGATAATATCAATATTTATCTACATATAATATAAATTCAAATTAAATATAAATGTATTTATTTACATAAATTGTGTGTAAACAATATAACATTATGTGTTATGTAAAATAAGCAATTTTATAAATAGATATTTAATATAATGTATACATAAATTAAAATAAGAGAAAAATATAAAGTGATCTAGAAAGAGGAAATATAGCTGAAAGAATCTCTGGAATTTTATTTTCTCAAAGTTTATATTACAAATAAATAGAAGGACATTCATAAAGTCATGCTAATGAGTGGTAACTATTCTCTGTAGCAATGAAAACATTCTTGACCTATCTACTATGATGAGGGGGATGAAAAGTTCCCAACCAGTCAGTTAAGGAAATTCAGTTTGGTGTGGTAAGATGTAGTAACTTTGGAAGGCCTCATTGTTTTCAATTTGATACTTGAAGCTGCTCTGTAAGGAAGTTTGCTTTATTCTGGCAAGTGGATTATATATATTCCTTGCAAGGAATAGAGAGCGGTGACAAGTTTTATTTTTATAGCTCTGTCTAGATGCTGTCACAGACAGGAAATTCCAGAGTTTGAACAGACTGTTGAAGGGCAGATGCATATGCACAGCCCCCACTTCACCAAGAGATTCTAGCTTGCTTCCTGACATGGTATTGATTTGGGATTTCTCATCGCAGTATTGGCTGTGGGCTCCAAACTCTGATATATCAAGGAAATGAGTGGATTTCACATAGAAGCCAGGGACAGAATATAAAAAATAAATGAATAAATAAAAGTTAACATTGTCAAAATTGTGTCAGAGGGAAGACTGCTGTGATGTCAACCCTGGCTGCTTTTGCCATGTGTCACCACTCCCAACCCAGGCACAGAGAACAGGGATAAACACACAAAGGGCAAAGCTTTGTGACTGCCAGCCTTTGGATTCATACTTGAAAGTGAAAGTCAATGAAAGGCCTTTCTTTAATCTCTTTCCAAGAGATGAACAGCAATCTGGACCCAGGACGGTAGATTCCACTGAGAGTGCTTTCAGCAAGCACTGTTGGAAAAAGCATGCGTTCCTGCAGAGGTCTCTTTCCATTATATTATCAGAAAGTATTTTGGTGGTTTGTGCAGACGTACTTCATTTTCTGAGTGCATATTAATTGTAAGTGGCAGTATAAAACTTTGAAAAGGCATGCTGGTATTTTCAAGTCACATATTACCTTTTAATATGATATATAACGTGTTTGTGTCTAGGGTTTGTCTCTCTTCATATTGCTAGAATATCAGACTCATGAGAGCAGAGATATGAATGAGCTTTTGTCATTTGTATTTCCAACTGCCTAGAAGAGTGAAGTGGCACCTCATAGACCTCCATGAATGCTTGTCGAATAAATGCATTTCTGAGACTATTGAATGCCAGAGAAATGAATAGGAGCTTTATAATAGAGAATACAAATAAGGTAAATTCAAAATCAGTATATTATGTGTTGAGTAATTATTGTAAAGTATTCTAATGAGTATGGAAAATGCATCATAAATTTCATGAACCTTGCACTTACATGTAAGATTATTACATATTGAGAAAGTTGGGGGTTTTTCCCAGTATTTTTGACAAGGATATTTCCAAATCACTACTGAAAAACTGTATCTTTATTAACAATACCAGTGTGTTCATTATGCCAATGAAATTATTTCCTGTAAAGCAAGTACAATGAATTTATTTACAGCTCAGCTTTGTTCTTTTTAAGTACTGGGCATGATCTAGTTTGCTAGAGCATAACATTATTAGCCAAGGAGATCTGGAAAGAAAATTTGTACTCAGTGAACATGGCAGAGTTCAACATGGAATTTATAATTAAAGTGTAGTACCACATGAACAGTTTTGTTTGAAATGCCTCTTTTACCTACAATCATTCTACAAGATTTGGGGTTCATGTATAAAAATTTGCCTACAATTCTAGAGATTGAAGAGGAATTAATGAAGATGGTTTCTTGTCTAAAGTTTTCAATCCATTCCAACTTATCTCATGACAGAAGTGCCACTGTTAGCTGATTGGCAGAGTAAGTGTATTCAACATGCTGGACCTTAGTCTTTTGTTAAAGAAGCATAGCTTCTTGCCAGGAGGTATCTTCTCTTTACATCTTTATTTAGAAAGTGGAGTTTTCTTATTTAGTCAACAAGTGCTCTGGGGTTTCAGATATCAGTTTGATATGGTGAGTTTTACCTTTCAGGCTGCTGTAAATATGGAGCCTATTGAAATGATTAGAATTGCTTTGGAAATAATATAGATATAAATTGACTATTTTTAAAAAATAAGTGAGAAAGTTACTCTCTTCCTCATTCTTCAAAAACAAACAAATGTAACACATGATCCCAAATATTATTATTATTATTATTCCAGATGGTAAGTGCTTTACCTATTCTAAATTAATGTTTATGCAAGTTTTTTTGTGATTTTTTTGAGAGTATAAATATGATCCTCTAATAAAAATATACAGGATCACAGATCAAGAGGTTCTATTTTACAGACATATTAATAGCATTGTCTTTAATGATTTTAAAATTATGACACATCAGGTTGTTTTTATCTTGAAGGCTGTTAAATTAGACCAAATGGTTTGAGTGAGAAACAAAATAAAATAGTGGATTTGTGAGAGCATAATACTTAAAACTAAGCTAGTAAGAGGGAAGTTAAGGCAGTAGATTGAGGACCCATAATGAACCACTTCATCCTCCTGTCATTTGGGAAGATACTGCTTTCCCTTTAAGTGTTTTCTCTTCATTTTGTAATTTTAAATATTCTTTTCTGTTTATTAATGCTGCATTTCTAAATAAAACAAAAAAAGGAATGCAAGCCATCATAAATGTTAGGAAGGCTATAATCCAGGTTTGGGAAAAGGGATGCAGTATCTCTCCCTTGGGCACAAAGAGCTAACACAGCAGGCCTTTCTTGGCTTCCATGTCTCTGGAAACCTTCTGAACCATTTGTTCTCTTGATCATTTCCTAGTTCTTTCCTGTAATGGAATGTGCAGAGGTTTCAGAATGACAAACTGCTCCACCTCTTCAGTTAGTCACCAGTTTGTAATCTTGACCCAATGAAAATGACCTTTCCTCCACAGAATGGATGTCATAATCCCTACCTGAGAGAATATGCTAAAAAGAGGTTCAGAAAATATATATTCAACTAGTTGGAAGATTTTATAGATGCTGAGTCAAAAATACTCATAGTAAGTCTTATGGATCACTCTGAGGCACTCTTATAAGCATGTATTTATAGCTATTTACTTATTTAATCCTGAAAACAAACTTATCAGATAGTTACTATTTTATCTCCATGTTAACGATGAGGAAAGTGAGATGGAGATGCTAATTAATTGAGTGAAAAATATAATTGGTAAATTGAACTTGATCTTAAAAAGAAGGCATACTCTAGCTCACTGCTCTTATAACTACTACCATTGGTCAATATTATTTTGCTTTTTTCTGACAGTAAGCGTGGATTGTTGTTATATTTTCCTGCCTAATGTTGGGTTGTACTTTGGGCTATTCATGCCTAGATCTTATAAAATCAGAAGCTAAGTCCTTTTTTCAAGGAAAAAAAAATTGACAGTCATGTAAAAAGAAAACTCATTTTTTTAAATGTAAAGAAGTACAAAAAAAATAGATTCCACTTTAAAATGTGTGTGTTCTAGTGCAGTGGCCTTTGAAATCTAAGGACTGTATATTGTTTGAGTAAAAAAGAAATGACCTGTACTTTTAATACAATATTTAAATAAATTACATATATGTATATATGCTAGTGTACAAATAATCTTTATAAACCTCATAAAAAAAATGAATGATGATTTAAAACATTTTGTTTGTACATTCTGATGGACCTTATCTACAACTACTCTAAGAGAGGATCCTGGGCAGGAGGTATAAATTGAAGGACCTCCGAAAGCAATATGGCTTGCCAGAGCATTTAGCCTACAAAGATTGGACAATCATTTAAACACTGGCAATCTCACATGGAAATTTGGATTTCTACCACCTTCTGGAAAATCAGAAGATCTAGAAACACCATTGACAGAGGTGGAATACCAGCTAGCCTTTCAAGACAAATCCTATACTCCATATTTTACCACAGCCTTCACCATCCCTATTGTCCCATTAAGCTAATTCACTGTTTTCTTTTGTCTTGTCTCCTGTAGGCATAGGAGTTTAGATCTTCTGAGTTGCAGAAAAAAATTTCCTATCCCCTCTACCCTGATCTATAATCAGGGTCATTTTAGAAATTCTGCATGGAAATTTCAATTTACAAAGAAACTGAGCACATCACTCTTTCAATAAGCCTTTCTGATGTGCTCACTGGCCACTACTACCTCATTCAGTTTCTTTACTTTCTAGGCGGTTGCAAAGAAAAACAAAGGAATTAAAATGAAATTCATCCAAATGCTTCTGAAGACAGATGTATTAACAGATGATGGTTTATCCTTAGTCTTACTGGGCATAGTTAAATCAATTTCTTATCACTCTACTAGAATAGAATTAGCATTTTAATTATTTTTTTCCTACTTAATTGTGTAAGACAAGTATCCTTTGAAATTTTCATGTAGGATGATAAAAACCGATTACCTCTTAAATTGTTGCAGAGCACTTTACACTGTATAATAGAAATATGCTATGGGCAAGATAAATGTAGTAATGTAAACTGATTAACATTTGGTACACAGGGTCTCAATATTAAAAAAGGTGTGGTTCTGATATTATTAGCATATTAACTTCTCAATTTACTTGCTTAAAAGGAAATAGCAGAAAAGATTACTTTCCTTAGAAACTACTTGTCTGCAAATTCACGAGTTCCAGAGCATTAAACAAGTGTGCTACTCTGTTAATGGATAAGGTAGCACAGCTAATTAACTATGAAGTCATTAAGGCTTTTCTGTTCTATGACAGTTGTGTTTACCTATAAGAGATTAATGAACTTGTCAAATGCTTCTTTCTCCCTTTTGTTATTTCAGATCAGCCTTGAGAGGAATTTGACAGAAGATGTCACAACATTTTCACTTCTGGAAATGGTTAGCTTCAGGAATTATCCTTGGTTCCCTCTTCAAAATCGGCTCTGGACAGTATGATGATGGTAAGACTGCTCTTAGACTGACCTTTAGAGTTAGCCAGAATGCTTTATTATTAAATTGAAAATGAAACATACCACAACAATGAATAATGCTAATTTGCAGTTTATTTTTAAAGGTTAGTAGCTGTGTCAATAATTTACTTTAATTAAAATAATTCTACAGAAGTGACATCCAAAACTCTGTGCTTCTTAATAAGGATTTTGCAGGTTGGTAGAATATCCAACTCGAGACCTCTATGTGAACAATTACTCATTCTTACAAAACAAATTCTTAATTGCTATGAAAGAAAACACATTAAATTCTATTTTCTATCTGTCCCAGTAGTCTAATGGGTAAGGCAGTGGCCTCCTAAATTCTGTTTACTAACCCTTGAAAAAATACAGACAATGTTCTGAGATAAAGTGTAAGAATATGAAAGATACCAGAAATTCCTATGAGAAAATTTCTCTGAAGGGGTCAAAAGTAGGGGCTATAAGTGAGTTTAGTGTTAGCACTGTCACTGAATATTGGATTAATTCATACCCCACTATTTTATCTGGAAAGAGTGAAAAGAATGTGAATGACATCACATTAGACTTTGTAAGTCATTTACTTTACTAGTAGCAAATCAGTCACTTTAGAAAGATATATATGTATATTATATATTATATATAATATAATATATAGTATTATATAATATGTAAACATATATATATATTGTATACATATATACCTCATTTGGAATTTACAGAGTAATTCACAATAGCATCTATTTTCATGAAGTCTGTAGCCTAATCCCCTGAAGTTATGCTAATTAGCACAGTGTTTACTTTAAGTGAATCTGAATTTAATGTTCATGTCATTGCCATTTAAGTAGATTTTGACTCTCCAGTCTAAAAACAAGTTTTAAAATGTAATAAGATATAACTAATGTGTTAGCTACTTTGAAGCAAAAATAAAAATCAGTGAAACTTTAAAGAGTATGACTGTATTAAACAGATGCGTTTTAAATTGTGCCTCAGGAATAGATGACAATCAGTGTGTTGATATTTCTTTACGTCATAAGGCATTCTACCTTTATTCATATTTAATGCTCAGGCTGAGCAAGGAGGGATTCACTCTCATTGCTCACATTAGATATTCATGTGTTCTGTACTTTTTTATGTACTAACATAATTTAGGTTATAAGAGAAAATTACTCCTGGTTTAACCTGTAATGCTATAGAAATGGTTTCCTTAATAAGCTCATTATAGCTCATGCTCTTTCTAAATATGCTTGCAGTCTCGGAAATAAGATTATCAAGTCGCCATTGGCTGTCACATAGTGTACGTTCTGAAGCAGAGTGTAACTTCTCACCTGCCAGTGACAGTGTACAGAAGGGCTGCCCCCTAAAGGACCACACTGCAGACGGCTCACCTACAGCACTGTTAGAAAGCCATCTCAGTTGGCCTCCTAGAAGTGACTCAGTTCTTGGGTAGATTGAAGGGATAGAGAAATGCTAAACTGGTCACAGAAATACAAACTTTGTCTAGTGTTCTGCAGAGATTGCTTAACTTTACATGCATTTCAGCATTCCTTCCATACTTGCATCTTCCAACATGCCCCAGGAGGTAACAATGTTTTGTTCCCTTAGGTATCTTTATATCTCAGGTCCTCACCTCTCTGACCTCCCTCAACTAGGGACTCTTTGACATCACTTTTATTCAATTGTTCAGCTCTGTGTGACTGAAATGGTTTTCATAACTATTACTTTTTTTTAATTTCATATAAAATTCTGAGCCCGTGCTATGTAGGAATGAAATCAAAACTCAGCAAAGCATGGCAAATATTCAAAATAACACTAAACTGGAATGTGCGGTAAGAACTTCTTGAAACAATTTCTTTTTATCCAGATGTTTAGGGATGCAAGTATGTGGTTAGATTGATGGAAGATAATGGTGATGGTCAGAAACATGCAAGAAACATGCAAGAAATTTTTCCATTGATAATCCATTGGTTGGATTAGCCTGCTGTGATAGTTGACAAAAGATTTACATACATGGTGAGAACTTCAGATAGAAAAAAATGAAGGAGAAAAAATCCTAAACTACTCAAAGGCTATTAGCAAAACCGTCTAGGTTTCTCTTATACTAATGAATAGGATTATCCTTTTCATTGTAAACCATTTTTTATACTTTTCTATGTATTTCTTCAGACATAAGGGAGTTGGAAGGGAAAAAAAATTGAAACTTTATCCTGAAATTGAATATTCTAGTATTACCCAAATGTGTGAAAATCCTAAGAAAAATATATTGTATAATTATTTTTTAAAATATTTTTATAACAAAATTATTTACTTGAAATCTTTGACTATGTTTTGAGTCTTTTTTTAATATTTCTCATTCAAATTGCTGGGATAATTTTTTGATTCAGAAATAAAGTTTGTAGATTGCCTCTTCCATAATGGACATTTTGTTTGTTTGATGACTATATATCTAAGCAAGAATTAATAATGTAAGATTGATAGTATTATATTAAATATTAAAAGTCAGAATTTAGCTAACTGATAGAAAATTAAAGAACGTAATAGATTTGTAGTTTATAGTATCTTTTTCTCCCCATAAGAGAGTATTAGCATTGATATTTTAGCTTATAGTAAAATGCATTACCAAAGCTGACAATTTTATTTGAATGAGAACATGTATCCTGATCCTAAATTAAGTGTGGGGAGCCTGGAAGGAAGCACCATGCAGAGGCAGAAGTAGCAGGGTCATCTGCGAAATTGTATGTTGTGTGGGAAAAAAGAAAAAAATATATAAAACAGATCCCTCATTCTAACATATTCACAGTAAATAAACCAAGTTGTGCATAGGATTTGTGTTTTTGTTTGTTTTGATCTGATTTTGAATTCATGGATGAATTAAGAAAGGGAGAGGAACAACAGGGACATGACATGTGGGTAGTGGATATGTTTTATATTTATTTTTTATTACTTCCTCTGCATTTTCAAGTTGTTCATATTGAATATATATTGCTGCTACAATTAGATAGGAAAAGACTTCAAGAAAAACTGCATATGGTAGCATTATGACTAAGTTTGAACCAAAGTATTACAAGAGTTTTAAATGGTACATGTGCCTTTTAGGTGTCGGGTGTGTGCACTTTTGAGAGTCAGAGAGAAAACAGACCAAGAGAGAGATTCCTTTAGTGTATGCAGACCACGACAGCCAACACGAGTTTATGAAGGAAAGGCTTCTCCCTGGCTGCTCAAGCATTTAGCCTTGAAAGCCAGAAATCTTCCATCTTGCCCTTGAGTCATTACATAAATTAGCATAGATCTATGATGTGAATGGAACTCTTACGTAGAACCAGAACAGCTATGAAGGGACCCTGTTTAAAACCTCGAAAGACCACAGTACTTCCTTAGGCTCAGTTACAATTAATAATTAGTAATAATTATATGTTAGCTGTTAATTTGTTATTAATATAAAATACTTTGTTAAAAATAATGAGTCTTGAAACTCAATTTATACAGCTTAGAACAGCATCTCATAAATGGCTAATATTCACTAAAATATTTATCATTGTTATTAGTTCTCATTATAAATAATTCTTCTATTTTATAAACTTGCATATTTACTTATAAAGGAGTAATTTGTGCCCCTCTGTACTATGTATATATTCTTTCTTTATGTCTCTCCTAAACTTACTAAGCCTCTTGAAGACATAATTTTGTTTAATTATATTTTATTCCTAAAAGTATTAATAAATGTATCCTTTCCTTAGAAAGCTTACTGATTCACATGAAACTTTAAATTAAGTTTGAGGAACATTTCCAAGTTCATTTTTATGCTGGCTCTTAAGTAGTCCATGGAAGGTCAGTGATGAGATAAGCATGTCAATCAAGAGTACAACCATGTTCTAAGGTCTGATGCTAAAGCCTGGAGACATCATTTCTATCAATGCTTTCACAGGCCATGAAGTAGAGTGCACCTGGTTTATATTAATTACACTTGGAAGATAATGACAAATTACAATGCTGATAACAGAATCATAAAGAAGAAATAGTTATCCTATGAGCCAAAACCCTTACGTTTCCAAGCAAAATGTACTGTCCCCACCAAGATGCCTTAACAAGAGATGGTTAAGTAAACTTACCAACTCAGCAAGAAGAGTTGAAGGATCTTACGGGTTCATCTTTCCAGGACATTAACAGCAGTCACATAGGGCAGTACTCTGTGGAACACTTACTTTCTCCCCTGGATCATACTGGGAAGATTTTTTAAATCCCTTATTCTTTGAGTTTGCCTTTGCTATGCTTAATGTACTTTATCTTCTTGTTAACATTATCTTTCTCTGAACATAGTACAGTGCAATAATTTTGAGTCTGCTTCATTAACAATTAAAGAAGATTACTATAGGCTGGATCTAAGTACTTTTCAGTGAACTTGGTTATCTCTGAATCTTCTTAATCCCTCATTTAAATATGATTGCTTAACAATGTTTGCACACATACACACATGTGTGGGTATAGCATAGTTGATACACATTTCAAACAAAAATAATCGTTTGTAGCATATGTTATGCAGATTTAATCTTCATATATTACAGACATCTTTGTCTCTTTGTCTACCCCTTTTACATATTCCATCTTGTAGAGGTTAAATTCAAGTTTTAGGAATAACTTAGTTAAAATCCTCAGTATTGTTTTTTCAGGGGAAGCTTTATAAGCTATTATATTTATATGCATTGTCATTATTATGTGACATTAGAATGGGAGGACAAAAAAGAACATTGCTATTTTCAATACTTTCTCCAATGAAACTTTCTTAAACAATCTCAATGTTATGTCTAGATGAAAGCTTGGCTGTGTCCTTTTTTTTAGGTTGTACCTAAACTTGCATTTATTTCATTTGCATTTATTGTTTCCTCTTTTCTTAAAATGAGTAATCTTGTAGAGCCTTGTACCTACCAAATGGACTTAGTTATAAAGACTTGAAAAAATTTATCTTTCATCGTTTCACCAACAATGCCCTACTATGA